CAGTCTTATGATTAACTTTTTGTCGAGGGATGGGTGATGCCTATAAAACGGAAATTTACATAAAACCCCAGTTCCTTCCATCCTCCTATTCTCTGGAGTGCAGAACTTGTGGTGAACCATTCCAGACTTGTTGGGTGAGGTCAAGATACTGTGGAAGGTGGAACACAAGAGAGTAAGACTCTGGGTTTGAAACTTCTATGGGACAGAGCTGCTGTACCAGCTCAGGCTTTATTTTAGAAATAAATTGCTATCTGTGCAATCCATTGTTATGGAGGGGGTGTTCCTCTTTTACAGCAGCTGGATCTAATTTTCTATCTTAATCAGATCCACAAAACCTCTAAAATTTAAAGGCAAAAATTTCTCTGTCTGTTGGTGAGAGGGTCCATAATTTTTAAGACATTATAGAAGGGTTCTATGGCACCCAAAAGGTCAGGAGCACTGATGACAGCAAAGTATTAATTAGCCAAGAACTTACGTGTCAATATGCTTAAGAAGAGAAACATAATATCTTAAAATCAATATGTGATAGAAAAAAATTTTAAACACTGCTGGTGTTCTTTTTCAGTATTCAAACACCCGGCAGCAATAAACTGAAGCCCCAAGTTAACAGTAATTCAAAATAAATGGTGCCAGTACAACAGAATCATCTCAACGCTAAACTTTTCCTTGATCTCTCCTTGCCTTTGGCCAAATTAAACTAATAGCAAGCAACTATGTTTTTTACATCAGCCAAAATAAATAAATTAAATATGCAGTCCATTAAAAATAAGGAAAACAGGTATTTTCTTACTTCACAGATTTCTTATAAAATTTATTTGCCACTCCACCCTGAAACCTAAGAAAGTGGAACTTAAAGTTGGACATAAAAATCTGATCATTTGACTTCATGTAGTTACCAGCAATGAATTCAAATTCTCAAGTGCTCCCTCAAAATTCTAAATTTGATTTCCATAGAAACCAAATCTAAGGTTAGTAGCTCAAGAGGTGAGCTCAATATTTGGGGGGGTAAAACAGAGGAGACACCATGTCTGAAAGGCTTATAACTTTAACTTCATGAAGTATGACGCAACCAGAAAAAGACAGTAAGAATACATTTATTCTTTCTTTACATTTAAGTAAAGCCTCTGCAATTACATCCAAATAATTAAATGTAGAACAAGTCCAGGGAGATGTGGGTTCCCATGGAAAAATATCTGAGAATTCTACACGAGCCAAAGTGTACCTGTTTTCAAACACCAGTGAGTCTTAGGACAAATTATGAATACTATGTATATGTATGTGTGTATTATACACACACACACACACACACACACACACACACACACATATACACACATACATTTTTTTTCTTTTATACCAAGGATTGAACTCAAGGCACTTTACCATTGAGCTTTACCTGCCAACCCTTTTTATGTATAATTTTAAGGTAGGGTCTCACTAAGTTCCTGAGGACCTTGCTAAATGCTCAATCTGTGATCCTCCTGCCTCATCCTGCCTTGAGATTACAAGTGTGTGCTACTGCACCCAGCAAACTGAGTAAAATTTATAATTTAAAAATTATAAAAGTCAAAATTATAACTTACAAAAATATTATATCTAATTCTGGATACAAGATTTTATGATTGGTACTGTCAAAAATAGCCCATCTAGGAAGATAATAAAAACACTGAATACACTGTTGTACAGAATGGTTGAAGTAACCTAGGTAGTTAAGCTGAAGGAAAAAATTAAGAAGTCATGACATGTATTTTTAAAAACCTCAAGGAATATCATAAGCCTCAAAGTTTCTGCATTTGTACATTTCTCTCAAGTTCAGAGCTACAACCAACTTACGAAAATTAATGGCAGGCAGACTTGACAAAAATGAAGCAGCAGGAATTCTACCATCTCCTGAAGTAGTAAGCCCAGCTCTCTCTCAAGGCCACTGTAAGAAGAATTCTTATGCTGGGAAAAAGTTTGCAGCAAAATGACTGAGATTTCTATCTAAAGGAGTAATACATGTTAGACTTAAGGACTAAGCTCATATTTTTCTCTAGGAACTGAATTACATTTTAAACATTCTGCACAAGCAAAAGCAATACGATTTTGTAAAGTGAGTTTGAGTGCTCCATTCAGACTTTGGCTAAGTTTGTCCTTTTTATCATATAATTCTGCTGGAAGATAAATTTCTCAACTATGGGGATTAAACTATAGTTGACCATGTGTCACTGGGTACGCAGGATGTTAGCTACTTGCAAATGAATACTGCATGAGAAGGTGACCAGAACCTCCTTTTAGGCAAAGCATGCCCACATTCTGAGGTCTGTCCTGAACAGAACAGTTTCCTGTGCACTATCCCAGATTGGAGGTGGTGGGTCTGGGACTGAAAGCCAGTGGAGAGGCCTTAACTCTAGAGCTCATGTCTCTAACTAGCACACTGCATTAGAACAGGCAGGACCTGGCAGACTTGTAGGCCCAGAGACAGCTTATCCGGAAAACAGCCCTAAAATAAGGTGAGAAAAGATGGAAGACTGTAGGAAAACAGAATGTGTTCAAAAACACTTCAGAGTTTTTTTGGCCCCACTCTATTTCCTCAGCTACCTACCTGGGTGTACTAGGGCCTAACATTTCCCATCACAGATGCACTCACAAGGGTAGTTCAGTCCTCAGGAGGGTTGATATTGAAAAAATACCCTCTGGATGCTTATACCTTAAATCCTAGCTGAAAGCACTAAGGAGGAGAGAGGAAGTAAAATGGATAAGAGATGAGGGGTTCCAGGAAAATCGTTGAATGAGGAAACAGAAAATATAGACGGAGTTCTATGTGGACCTAAGGCACAGTGGAGATTTAGCTCTGTGGCAGGCAGCTAAAGCAGGCATAGGAAGAACACTCTGCTTTTGCCACATGATGCCTCCATCTTCTTCTCCCTCTCAACATTTTTACTCTTGTTCCTCCCTACTCTGCTTTCCTTAGCCTTTTCCTTTCATCTTCCTACCTGACCATGTGTTTATCTTCCTTGTCTGTCCCTGCCAGGTGAAGGGTGGAGTGACTCCAGAAGAAACTATAGGCAGTGGCCTCTATCACAAATGGCAAACCGGAGAAACTGCTGCCTGCAGTATTCATGAGGGTTAATGATGTGCTGGGCATGAAGCTACAAGGTGTATGATGATGTACAAGACTGAATGTTCACTCCCCGGAGCTTGTACCCTGATATGACAGATCCAAACACAGGGGACCAAAAAGAAGTACAGCATGACAGTTACTTTTATGTTCCACATGTCTAGACTATGGCACCTAGTTCCTTCAAACACTAAGTCTAGATGTTGCTGTGAAAGTATCTGCAGATGTCTTAACACTTACAATCAGCTAATTTCAAGGAAAGTAGACTGTCCTCCATAATGTGACTAGGACTCATCCATACATCTGATGGCCTCACAAAGATTGGGTTTCCCAAGGAAGAAGTAATTCTGCCTTAAGACTACAACATAAAACTCCCCCGTGAATTTAGACTGCAACATCAATACCTACCAGAATTTCCAGCCTGTCAACCTCCCCTATAGATTTCAAACTTGATAGCCCTTCCAGTCACCAAAGTCAATTCACTATGATCAATTCCTCACTGCATATATATATATATATATATATATATATAAATATAAATATAAATATATATATATATATATATATAAAATCTCCTATCAGTTTTATGGACAGCCCTGACTGATGTACTAGTGAATAAGGATAAGGTCAATTATGCTGTCAATTTAAGAGGTTCACTGAGCAGTATTGCTCCGCATTCCTTGCAACTAGACAAGATCTGTCTACAATTCCTAAAAGCATTCACTTAACTGACAGTATTTTGTGTAAGTCAGTGAAATGTCAGTGACTTTAGCTTGATTCTTCTATATTTAAGAGTTTATTATTTTCTCTTAATTTTTTATTCTTGATTTCTCAAAAGTATCTGTACCATACTTATCAACAGCATAATGAGTCTATAAAATCTTTATGCTACCAAAAAAAGGCTCTGCCAACTTATGTGCCACACAGTGTTCCTTTCCTAAGAAAGTGTTTTCACTTAGATATAATGTGTAGTCTGAAGCTTTTGTATGTTTCTTCATCTGTGAAGGTCTATTTTAATTCTAAATGCTTTCCATTTCCTGGTTAAGGTTGCCATGGAGTTTTTTTCCTCCTCCTTCTAAATCATTTGGCAGTGAAGATACTGCCTTAAATCATCACATCTAGCTCACAGTATAGTGTTGCTATAAGTCATCTCTGACTTATAGGAAATGTGTTTAAAAATGTCAACTGCAAAGTACAAAGCAGTAATGTCATACTGCCCCTCTATTTTGGTGCACGATACACACTAAATAGCAGGTGTTGATTTTCTCTGATATTTGAGATTGATTGCTTGTCTGTTAGTACTCCCACCATCATTATGTTTAATCTACACTCATCTATGACACATTGCAACTTGCTGACTTTATAACTACTCTGTATGTAAATAAAATGAGCAAGAAATAGAAAACCCAAATAGGATGACTTCTATCTTCCTATAAAATCAAATCTGCTCAACTGAACGTGCCTCTATCAGAACAAGGGCAAAGTCCTAGAGTGAGCTCCTAGGTGCACTTACAGATCAAGAAAAAGAACTAAAATTTCATTTGTAATTGATGGTTAACTGTAAAGTGCATTTCATAGGCAAATAAGACAGAGCACTCCAACTACTATAAAATAAGTCAAGAGATCTGCAAAGGAAACAAAATATAGAAAAGTTCTGACAAGTTTATGTGACAATTATGTGGCTAAAAGTTTTCCTCTTTCCCATGAAACATAATATAAAGTACTGAAGACATATGTAAGGAAACAAATCCCAGGCAGCACTTTAAAGAATTATTTAGCAGTAGTTCAAATATAAATTTTCACTCTTATTATTTAATTGACATGTGTCCTATGAAAGCATGCAATTATCAGTTATACACACCATGCAGCATGCAGTAAATGGACAGCAGAGGTTAATAACCTGGAAGCATAGGATCTGAGAATGTGAGAGCAAGTTAAAGACAAGAGTTCCTCTCCATTTTCACTGAGGGCCGAGAAGCAATGCTGAAGCGTAGAACAGTGAGAGTGGGGGAAATACAGTTTGTCCAACACATAAACATATCTCCGCAAGTGGCGGCAGGTATAACTGAAAGACAAAGGTAAAAGGAGAAAAACAGAAAGAGAGAGTTTTCCTTTGAAAAAAATAAAGTCATTCTTTATGCCCTCAAAGCTTTCTGTGTATCTTCACTAGATGGTGCCCAAGATAAAACAACTATTAAAAGAGAACATAAAAAGGATAAAAAAGCAAGCAAAAAAAAACAACAAAAAACCCCGACTAAAAAATGGGCATAAGATATGAACAGACACCTCACCAAAGAAGATGTACAGATGGCAAATTAGCCCATGAAAAAGTGTTCCCCATCATGTGTCATTAGAGAAATGAGAATTAAAACAACAATGAGATAGCAGTACAGATCCATTAGAACAACTAAAATCTGGAACATTGATAACACCACAGAAAATATCACTCACTAGTGGAGGGAATGGAAGTGGCACAGTCACTCTAGAAGACAACTCTGCAGTTTCTTACAAAACTAAAGACACTCTTACCGTAAAATCCAGCAATGTGCTCCTCAGAATTTACCCAAAGAAGCTGAAAATGTATGTCCACGCAAAAAACCTGCATATGGATGCTTACAGTAGATCTGTAACTGAAAAACTTAAAAACAACCAAGATATCCTTTGGTAGGAAAATGGATAAACTGCATTATATTCAGACAACAGAGAATTACTTAGCACTAAAAAGAAATGAGCTATCTAAGTCATGAAAAGACATAGAAGAAGTGCATATACCAAGAAGCCAATCTGCAAAGCCTACATATTGTGATTCCAAGTATATGACACTGTGAAAAAGGTAAAACTAAGGAGTCAATAGAAAGATCAGTGGTTGCCAGGGGTTAGGAAGGAGGGGAGGGATGAAGAGGCAAAGCACAGAGGATTTTTAGGACAATGAAAATACTTTGTAGAGACTATAAAGGTAAATACATGCCTTTATACATTTGTTCAAAGCCATAGAATATACAACACTGAAAGTGAACCTTAATGTAACATTAAAGTCTTTGGGTGACAATGATTTGTCATTGCATTTGTTACTTGTAATGAATTTTTCTGCTCAATTCTGCTGTGAAGCTAAAACTATTTTTTAAGTCTATTTAAAAGGAAAAAATAAACACAAAAACTCATAGGGAAAAAAGTCTCAAAATACGTTGGTGTCATTAGTGAATCATATATCTGCTTTGGTGGAATAAAGTGATCTAAGATATTTTCTCTTCACAGTATTTGAAATACATTCTTGTCAGATATGCAATAATATACCACAATGATATGGAAGATGCTGTGGCAAAGGAAATATTAAATAAGGAATCAGAAAATTTAAAAGTCTAGATCCAGCTCAGTAATTAGCAGCTTTAAAATAGTAAGTATTTGATCTCTTTTGTCTTAATTCCACAAATAACACAGAACTTAAAACTTTAAATTGCTCCAAAATTTTGAAGGATATTATGAAAAAGTAAAGTAATCAGAGGGACAATTAGAATTAGGATTATTATTAAAGTTAGGGAAGTTTCACTGTTACAATATTTCAGGCCATTTAAGTGTAACAAGTTCAAAGAGGAAAATGCAAAATCAATCTGAGAAGGTGAACAACAAAATAGTGAACATATCAAGTGACACACCTTGACTACTAGTCTTAGAGAACCACGTCAAAAGCATAAAGTTACCAAGGGGGTATCAGATGATTATTAAAGTACGCTGAACTCAAAATAAAACTAATTCATTGGAAGACTTTCAATTGGCAAATTTCCACAAATGAACAATGCACTTATCCATTTAACCACTAACCAAAAAACCAGCTGGCCAGGCACTAACTACTACCTAGTGCTGGGCACTGAAGATAGGGTAAAGAACAAACTAAAAATCCCTACTGTTACAGAGCTTATACACTAGAGGGAAAGAGAGAACAAGACTTTACTGAAATTGGAAAAGTCTTAGAAAGCTAATAATATCCCCAATAAGGCAATTCAATGAATTTCAAAAAGGACTCAATCCACCAAAGGCGAGTAAAATCAAGAAAACTGAAAAACTGTGTTCTTTAAAAATGTGCTTCACCACCACTTTCAACAAGTGATCAGCAGTTACTTTTATCATCAGAAATGGGACCAGCAGACATCATGTGTCTCCTGAAAGGACCACAGCATAGTGAAAACCTACTGCTGAGGAATCAGACAAACTTAAATTGAGATTGAGTCTTAAAAAAAAAAAAAAAAAAGTTTTGTACCCTTTAGCTTTTGAAGGTCATGAAAGACAAAAACTGAGGGACCGTTTCAGATTAAAGATGAACAAGGACAACAAACTGTAACATGTGGTTTTGGTATTGAATTCTCTACAATAGGGGAAAAGGCATTTTTTCTCTTTTTCCCTAGAAAGGGAATTAGCAGGGCAAAGGACAAAAAAAGTTGGATGACAGAAAATTAGACAATACCTTTTAAAATTAATGTTAATTTCCTGATTTTGATAATGTCTTCTTCTTCTTCTTCTTCTTCTTTTTTTTTTTTAAAGAAACACATACTGGAGTCGTCAGAGGTATGGTACATCATATCTATACATTCATTTTCAAGCATTTCAAAAGAAGAGAGATGGAATGATGACAAAACAAATGTGGTAAATTTTGTGGAATCTGAGTGAAAGGTAAATGAAAATTATGTGTACTATTTTTGTAACCTTATTTGTACTATTTTGTAACCTTTTTGTAATTCTAATTTCAAGATAAAAAGCTTTAAAAAATAAACACAGTATTAAAACATCAAAAAATAATTTAAAGAAAAGAATAAAAACTAGTTTTTTTTTTTTTTTCCCAAACTGAATGATACTCATTTTAACATGGATTCAAATAGAGGGCCTTAAGAATGTTACCCTGACCTCTATACTTAAGGCTCGGGCCATCAGAAAAAGTAGAGCGTGGGAAGTAAGCAAATGTGGTCTGGAGTTATCCCATAAAAAACAGTCACTGTTACTTAAGAGTTGCACTTTCATAAAAACTAAAGCCTCCTTAGTGCCTTCTTATATAAAAATGTCCAAGATTATGCAACGTATAGTTCTGAAACGTTACTTGATATGGTTATCCTTCACACCAAAATAAATTATGAAAATGTTCTGTCCTAGAACAACATTCAAGTCTGTAGAGGATGCCAAAAACCACAAGCAAAAAAGTAAAGCTTAAAAAGTACCCTGGAGTCAAGTCTTAATAATGATGTATTTTACAGTACTTTGACGATAAAACTGTAATTTTCACAGCAATTTTTACTAACTTATATTCTCAGTTATTTATATGCTTAAAGAACTTTCAAAGAAAAATAAGATTACCAGAGGCAGGTTAAACTTTAAGGACTACTGAGAATATTCTGAATGCTAGCTACCCTTTTCTTTTTCTTTTTGAGTTTCTCCCCTTTCCTTCCTTTCTTAGAGGAAACTTGTTAACAGATCCTTTAGTGGACATAAAATATAAAAAATTAATTTAATAAGAAAGATTTAGAATTTACATGAAGAAAATTATAAAAACTTACTGTTGGGTATAAAAGAAATGAAATAAATGGAGAGACACTGGCCTATTTCTGAATGGGAAAACAAACTATTATAAGGGATGTTATTATCCTTCACAGATTTTAAACCAAGCCTTGTGGTTTTTTTTTTTTAATTTTTATTGGTTGTTCAAAACATTACAAAGCTCTTTTTTTTTTTTTTTAAACCAATTTTGAGTTCATTTTTGCATCTGGTGTGAATAAGGATCCAATTTCATTCCTCTGCATATGGATATCCAGTTGTACCAACACTATTTATTAGAGACTACCCTTTTTCCATAGAGTATTCCTGGCACCTCTGTAGAAAACCAGTTGACTATATATGTGTGGGTTCTCTTCTCTACTCTCGTCTTCCCCTGGTTGTATCTTTTTCCCCATGCATTTTAATTACTACAGTTTACAGTATGGTCTCCTACTTTGTTCTTTTTGTTCATGATTGATTTGGCTATTAAAGATATTCTGGGGTTTCATTTAAATTTTATAATTGTGTTTTCTATTTCTATAAAAATAAGAATTTTTATAAATATTGTGCTGAATCTGTATGTCACTTTGGCTATTATTGACATTTTAACAATATTAAATCTTTCAGTCCATGAACATATAATATCTCTCCATCTATTTGTGTGTTCTTGAATTTATTTTATCATCCTTTCACTTCCTCAATTAAACTTATTCCTAAGTTTGGGAGCTGTGTTTTCTTTTCTTCTTTTTTTGGGGGGCGGGGTGGGAGTGGGATTGTCCTATGACTTCTTTTTCAAATAATTCATTGTTGAAATATATAGAAATGATAGCCAGGCACAGTGGTGCATGCCTATAATCCCAGCAGCTTGGGAGGCTGAGGCAGAAGGACCACAAATTCAAAGCCTCAACAATTTATCAAGGCCCTAAGAAACTCAAGGAGACCCTGTTTCTAAATAAAATATTTAAAAAAGGACTGGGGATGTGGCTTAGTGATCAAGTGCCCCTGAGTTCATTCCCCAGTTCCAAAAAGTAAATTAAAATATATAGAAATGTTAGTGATTTTTTGTATATTGATTTTGCATTGTGCAACTTTACTGTACTTGTTTATTAGTTCTAGCAGTTTTTTAGTGAAGACTGTAGGATTTTCTTTATCTAAGACCACCTTATCAGTAAACAGTGATAATTCTACTTTTCCCTTTTCATACTGTCTCCAAGAGACTCATCTCACTTATTTCTTAAAATATTTTTTAGTTGTAGGTGGACACAATACCTTTATTTTATTATTTTTATGTGGTGCTGAGGACCAAACCCAATGCCTTACACATGCTAGGCAAGTGCCACAACCCAGTCCTCATCTCACTTTTAAGGACACATGTAAGCAGGCAATGGTGGTGCATGCCTGTAGCCCAAGCTATTAGGGAGGCTAAGGGAGGAGAATTGCATGAGTCTACAACCTAGGCTACATAGTGAGATCCTGACAAGAAAGAAAGGAAGGGAGAGAGGGCGACTGAAAATAGACTGAAAGTGAAGGACTGGAAAAAGATATTCC